AGCCACCGGGAGGACCGGGGCCGCTGGCTGTGGAGGAGCCTGAAGCCGTGGGCAGGGTCCTGGGTAAACCTCTCCCCCATGGTGATCCATCTCCAGCAGCATCAATCCAATATTTAAATGGATCAAAAGCAATGACTCAGAGACTTTCAGACCAGTTGGGTGAACAGTGGGAGCATTAGCCCTGATAACAGCCACACACATCATCAGCGCCAGTCACCGCCGCTCGGGGAGGTGGGTGTTCCCCGCCGAGCGCTCGGGGTTCCCGTTTCCCTGTTTTTACAAGAGTGGCCTCGTCACCACCCGACAATGTAGATGCTGAACGTTTACAGGGCTTCCAGAAGAGAGCGGGTGTCAGCTTGCGAGACATCCCACCAGGATGTCCCTTCACAGACCCAAAACGGGTCCAGGTCACGAAATCCACTGAGCTGGAAACTGCCAGAGTTTGACATAGAAACCAGGAAAAGGGGAGATCTACAGGAAAAGTGGGGAGGGACTCTTGGTCAGGGATTATAGTGACAGGATGAGGGGTAGTGGGTTCAAACTGGAAGGGGCCAGATTTAGATGAGAAATGAGGAAGTTCTTCCCTGTGAGGGTGATGAGCCCCTGGCCCAGGCTACCCAGGGAAGCTGTGGATGCTCCATCCCTGGAGGTGTTCAAGGCCAGGCTGGACAGGACTTTGAGCAGCCTGGTCTAGGTGAGAGGTGGCCTGGGGGTTTCCCCTGCCTTTGCCAGGGAGGTTGGAACAAGAAGATCCTGAAGGTCCCTTCCAACTCAAACCAGTCTATGGTTCTATGATCCATGAAGACCAGCCCAGGACATCCGGAGGGCTCTGTGCCAGAGGGCTTGGCCAGAGCATCTCCCTCTGCTGTTCTGTTCCTAGAGCAGTTTCCCTGGAGAGCACCTTGGCCCTGCTGCACAGAGAGCTCAGACAAAGCCTTCCATTGTCTCTGCCCTTGTTCCAACTTGCTGGAACTGGTTAGAATGGTCCTGGTGATGGTTGCCACATCCTGCACCCTGCCAAAAGGAAAGGTCTCCACGGACAGCCATGAGCCAGGCTGGGCCTGTCCCACCATGCTCACAGCCTGCCTGTGGCCGGCATGGGGCCAGCCAGCGCCATGCTCTCAGTGGGCAAGAGCAGGAGGTGGCTTTGGAGCATCACCCGGCACCCCTCTGCAGGTGGAGAGTCGCTAGTGGCTGTCCTATCAGGAGGTCACTGCTGCTTCTTGGCACGACCTGTGCTTGTCAAGTGACCACCAGGTAAATCTGCCAGCCCAGGGGACAGGCTGGGGAGCAGTGGGTGTCCTTCCAGCTGGCTTCCTGGGGCACCAGCCCGAGCGTGAGCCATGGCCGTGCCACCCAGGGGCAGAGAGAGGGCAGGAGAACCGAGGTCTCACCGAGGCGTTTCCTTCTCTCCGCAGACACAGCCGGTGCCCCGCCGCAGCAGGACCGCTCCCCGGAGACAATGCGGGCGCTGAGTGGAACCCCCCCGAACAACAGCTCGAGCAGCCCAGGCAGCAACCTGAGCGCGGGTGGACGCAAAGAGACGGGTGGAGGTAACTTCATAGCTGGAGTCCTCATCCAGGCCATGCGTAAGAAGATGAGCATCTACGATGCCATGATGAGGGGGCTCCTGACGCCAGGTACGGCCCTGGTGCTGCTGGAGGCACAGGCTGCTTCAGGGCTCCTCACTGACCCGCTGAGGAACGAGAAACTGTCGGTGAAGGAAGCGCTGGCCGCGGGACTCATCGGCAGGGATTTTTACGAGAAGCTGCTGTCAGCAGAGGGAGCGGTGACGGGGTACACAGAGCCCTACACCGGACGCAGGATCTCCCTCTTCCAGGCCATGAAGCAGGATCTCATCGTCAAGGAGCACGGCATCCGCCTGCTCGAGTCCCAGATCGCCACCGGCGGCATCATCGCCCCCGTGCACAGCCCCCGCCTGCCCGTGGAAGCTGCCTACAAGCGCGGCTACTTCGACCAGGAGATGAACCAGTTTCTTTCTAACCCCGAAAATCAAACGAGAAGTTGCTTCGACCCCAACACCCACGAGAACCT